TTAAACAACAATGGTAACCTGGTCAGGGTCCTGATATAATCCTTTTTCGAATCCTGCTGGGATCTTGAAATTCCGAGGCTACATACTTCTTTCAGGATTTCGTCGTTTCCTCAGAAAAAAAGAGCGAATTCTGGAAAGATCCTGACTGAATCCATAAAGGACCTGGTACAGAAACATCAAGGATTTTCCCTAGGGAAACTTTGCAATTGATCTTTCTAGAAAGGTTTTTTTCATGTTGAGAAGCCAGAAAGAAGGGCCGTGACTCACGGTCACGGTCACAGTGAGCCCAGCCCGTGACCGTGACCAAAAAAGTTGGTCACGCCGGGCACTAGTCTTGATACCTTATTGAGATTTGTCTTTTGCGCAAAGTCCGAATTCAAAAGCAATTTTCAAGTTACTCTCGTCAATAGAGGTGTAAACTGAGCGGCTGAGCCGCTTCGACATAAATATGTATGTATTTGATTTTCGAATGTTTTGGACAGGATGCGAGTGTTGTATACTCTTTATCCACATTCTACTCCTTCCTTCATCGCTACGAACCGTGTAGCTTCAAAATCTCAACGTCAAACTTACTCAGGTTGATTTAATAATTGAAATTCTGATGATGATTTTCCAATAATTTTATATTGTTTTAAAAGTTCATCTTTGGTATTAGGTAAATATTCGATTGTACCTTGTGGTATACAATGTAAATATCCAGTTCGAATAAAATTTTGAAATTTATAATATATTCTTTCGAAAAGTAAAAGAAAAAAATGTTCATTTGAACGATATCGTTGTTTAAGATAACGTTTAGATTCATTACGAAATGTTAATAAATATGTATCAGTTGAACAAAGAACAGATAAATGTTCTAATTGATTTAAACGTGTTTGTTGTGCCATATCATTTTTTATTTTACGTACAACATTTTGTGGAGTTTTTGTACGTGCTGAACGAGGAAGAATACGAACAAGACATGCACGAAATAATTCTTTATTAAATGGAAGAAATGCAGCTGGACGACGACTTCCAACTGGATTAGAATCTTGTAATATATCAGGAGTATTAGGTTGTTTACGAGGTAAATAAAATGCAAGTGAAGCATTTATTAATGATATAACACGTTCTTCAATTGGTGACCAACGTACACGAAGAGCTGTTGAATTGATTTGTTCTATAATAGATAAAAATTTGATTTTGCTTCTCATTATATAGATGAAATATAAATGAGATCGGAAAATTTTAGAGATATACTTTATAATGGTCATTTTATTTTTAAATTTTGAATCTACTAATGAAGAAATAGAGATCGAAATTTCAGTAAAATGATCATAACTCTAGATGAAAAATTTAATCGAACAAATCATTTTAGACTTCTTCTAGACTCATAGAGAATCAATTGATCATATATTGATAACATCTTATTATAATATATGAATCAGAGATGAGATCAATTCAAGTGTTTCAAACTTTAAAACGAACCGATTCTATGTCAAATATGAATTAAGTCTAATTCACAAAGCATAATAGAAGGTCATAAGTGCTCTAAAAGCTTTTTTGCAGCAAACCAACGAATAAACACAGTTTTTGAATAAGATACCATTTTATTAATTAAAAAGATATTAGACCAATTCCTTCGGGATTAAAAAGTGAAACACGATGATAATGCTACTTATATTGTAAACGAGAGGATTTTTTTGACTTATGAATTCCTATCTATTATTAATGAATGTTGATAATGAAAGAAGAAGTTATGCTAATAGCTTTTATTCGTAATAAATTACCTTCATCATCAGATTCTTGTTCATCATTTAATTTTTGTTTTTTTTTATTTTTTCGATTATTAAGATTGTTTTGTATTGTTGTATCACGTAAAATATCATTATAACGATTTAAAATAATTTTATTTTTATCTTTAATATATTGTAAAAGTAATTTTTTACGTCGTTCAGTAAATTGTATTTGATTTAATAATTCATATGGTACAATATATCTTGATAAATGACCATAATTTTCAATATTATGTAATGATTTAATTAATAAATTAAAATTACGTTTTGTTTTATGAAACATCGATAATGATGTTGCTATTGATGATGTTGAATTTAGAGTTGTATTATCAAAATTTGATGATAAAAAATTTGCACCACGTTTACGAATATTATTTTTACGTTTTTGTGCTAAATGTCTTGTATATGAACGTTTAAGTGCAACATCAATTGGAACACGTAATTCACAAACAGGTATACAACAATGATTTGCTTCACGATTAAGTAATTTTAATATACGTTTATTATTATATGGAAGTTTCCATGATTTACGTAAAAATAAATATAAATCATAATCAAAACCAGCTGGACCATTTGATTTACCAAGTGGAATTTTAATTTCATTTATATTTTCAATAGATATTGGTTTAATAGCTTGTTTAAGTATATCAACAATATGTAAACGATTTTGTTTACGTGAAAAAATTTTTATACGATATGTATTTAATGCTATTTCAATTAAATCAAACCAATAACGATTAACATTTGTTAATGATAAAAAATTATATATTTGTTTAGGATAATTTGATATATTTTCAATAGGTTCATTTGAATTATTTGTTTGATTTATTGTATTAATAAGATAAGCTTTTGGATGTACATAAATTAATGTATTTAATTTTTCTAAACGACTTATTATTGGTCGATCAACAAATGTTATTAAACCAAGTGTTGATAAATATTTTAATACTTCTGTTATACGATATAAATAATGACGACGAACAACAAGTGGATAACGCATTTCAGCTGGAAGATCTCGTACAAGTACATAACGTTTTGTTGGATGTGAAAGTAATTCCATAAGACCAGGAACTTTATATGGTACATAAACAATAGCAAGAAATATTGATACAGGCATACACATAAGAAAATCATCTAAATAAAGACAACCCGAAGGAATTGAACGACCACGAATATCTAATGGTGGTACAAATGTTTTCCAATTAGCACCTTGATTAGATCCAATATAACGACGAGTCGTAGGAATAGAATCAAGTACTAATTGAACTTCAGGATCATTTGATACAAGTGGTGGATCCATATCGATAGTCGACTAAAAATATAAATAAATATTTTAATGGATGATCTACAAAAGAGCATATTTCTCCACAGTCTTTTAACATAATTGGTCGATAGACGAGCTTCCCTAATAAATCCCATCGGGTCCAAAATTTTCAAACCCCGCTCTTCTATTATATTCAAGGATACAAAGTTTCAAGAATGATCTTTCATTGTGTCTCATTTATTTTTGTAGGTTCTAATTAAAAAAGCTTTCGAGACCAATCTGATGGGCGGTTCTACTCTCGGCACTGAAACTACCGTCTTATATCACGAACAAATTAAAGAAATGGAAGAAAATAGTTTTATATGAATAAATTTACACTTACATAAAAAAATTAAGCATTAGGCTCAACTATTGAAAGTAGATCTATCGTATCATCCATTTGTTTACACTTGATGGAACGAATAAATTTCGGAACACGTCACTTTCAAGATTCTTTTTGCTATTAAGTTTTTTACATTAGACTTTGTGAGTGATTTTACAAATCCACTTCTTAATCATGAAAAGAATGGAAAACTTAACTAGTTCGGCAAATGATCATCATTATTAATCGAGATGATAGAAATTATCATAATTCTTTTGGAACTTTATAGATATGATCATGACTTAGCATTATTGAACTTTTGATCTCATACAAAGTAACTTTGTATTTTGAAAGACAAACTATAGAAGTTCCAATGACTATCTTATTGATTAACAATAATGGTCGTTTATCTGAATAGTTAACTCTTCGATCCTTCTGAAGACTTCATTAGAACTGATAAAATCTTTTACATTAGTTGACGGAAGTATGAAACTTTTAACTAACGATAGAGCATTCCTAAATTTCAAATCATTTTTAGCATGACACTATGACGACTCAATCGATTATTATAATTAATAAAAAAAATTGTTTTGATTTTCGAATAGAAATTTTATTCTTAAATAAGCTGAATAATCAGTAGAAATTCTTCAAAGTTTGAATTTGAACAAACATATCCTTATAATTTTTTTTATGTGTCAAGATTTAATGTTAAAGATTTTTCATTTTTTCATACCTCAATTATTTCATTATCAATTTTGCCTTCATAACCATAGAGTAAATAAAAAAGAAATTTATGTAAAATAGCACAACGTTGAAATTTATAAACATAACCATAACAATTTCCAAAACCAGTTATATTTTCTAATGGTTTCTTTTTTAATAAAGCTATTTTTTCTTCTTCTAAACCATTATTAAATAAATGATCAATTGTTATTTTAGAATCATCATCATATTGTTTATCATCTTCTATTATTTGATCTTGTTGATCAATTGTTGTATTTAATAAATTTTTACGTGATATTTGTTTAGATTTATTTGTTGTTGTTGTTGTTGATGGTACTTCAATTGTATCTTGTGATAATTCAATTTTAAATTGTTGTATACGTTCAGAATTAGGTGTTATATCATTTGTATTCATAGCTAAACAAACAATTGTTCGTGATTGTTTTATACGTGCTGTAAAACGAAATAAAAATTTATGAACTTTTTCAAGTTCATCAACTAATTTATCTAATGTTTTACGATCCATATGTATTGTTAAACCTTCATCACGTTCACTTGACATAATAGCAGCACGTAAATCAGTTAATGTACATATTGGATGTTCTTGCATATATGAACGTATTAAATCAAGACGATGTTCACGTTTAATATTTATACGTTTAACTGGATTAACTCGTGTTTTTGATTTCTTTTTTGGAAGTTCATTTGTTACAGATTTAATTGATGGACGCCATAAAATTTCTGATGAAACAAGACGTGATAGTAATGGTTCATTGTCAAGATGTTCAGCATCGATTGGTTCACATTTAATAAAAGATGTTGAATTTGATGAAGGACCTGTCAACGATGTTGGACTATCAACTAGAAGAAAAGAAATTATTTATTATAGTTTAGAATACTCGAATGTGATCTTTCACTTCTTCGATATACATCAGAGACAAATTGTACTTGCTTATTGTTTTTCTGTAGGATTAAGGGGACCCCCCCCCTTTCCCGACTCAAAATTTTCACATTTTTCATTTTTTGTGATTAGTATATAGATTTAAATGCCCTCTATCCATTGAGTACACTTTGAGAACTGAAAAACCACATCTTGTATATAAAAAATTCGAAAAAAATCACAAAATATGCTGAAAAAACCAAAAAACACAAATTTCTTCGCGTTTTTCCCAAAATCAGTTTTTTCAGCAAAAAAATGAAGTTTTCCCCCTTTTTCTCCGTCATTTCAAGTCCGATCGGGCTGAAAATTGTTTTGGTGAGACTTCAAGTGATTTGGGTTGGGCGTTTTTTTTTTTTGGATACCTTCTACCAATCAAGTTTGGCAGACTTCGCAAAATTTTTAGGATCCAAAAAACCTAGAGATTTTGCAAAGTGCCCAGTATTTTGGTTCTCCAGCCTGAAGTATTTGGAATTTTTGAAAAAAAAAAAACGCCCACCCCGATTGGGTCCGTCTACCCACAGTAAAAATTTCAGCCCAAACGGATGAAATCTGTGGATTTGCGGGGGGGGAAACTTTTTGCAAGTTTTTGACCTTGGGGTCTCTGGAAGTCCATGAAAATGACGTCTGGCAAATTTGTGTCTATGACAACTTTTGCTCTACTACTCGAGGTCTATCTACCCTGCAAGTTTCAGGAATTTTCGTTCGGCCGTTTCTTAGAAACGCCGGAAAGGGGGGGGGTCCCCTTAAGTAAAATGATTGTGAAGAACATGTGTTCAAAAATAAATAATCTTCATGTGACTAGTAAGAACAGCTATATCATGTTTCACATTTTAATCTCACACGAATTGTTCGAACAATTTTTTTTCTTTTATTTAGTTACACAGACTGATTATTTTGATATTGCTGATGTTGAGATACACTATACTACGAACATATTGTATTTGCAGAAAAAAGAAATTCTTGTTTACAGATGTGAAAGTAATATTTTTTATGACAATTTGGATCATTGTTGACATATTCGTAACGAGTAATATGAAACATGATCTTCCAGAGTTATTTTGTTTTCGATATAAACTTATAAAATAACTCAATTCTTACGCTAAAAACTTTTTTAGAACTAATAGCCAGTCAAAAAGTATTGCCCGATAGTTTTTCTTCTAGATGAGATCTTAACAATACGAATGAATGATTCGAATTCTGTATTATAACGAGACATTATTGATATACAGTTTGTGAGGGGGGTCTAAATTTCCACCCGTATATTTCAACATTTCTTTTAGATCTTGTTTTACAAAATAATAATATAATTGTGACCAGTCGTAAAAAAGAAATCAAATTAATAATAAATTCAATTTTTATGTCATTCAAGATGAATGACTCATTTTTGACTCATTCTGCATCTCCATTGTGAAATGACTTTGCTCAAAGGTAACTATATCACTATCATAATTAGTATTTGTATAAAAAGAAAAAAAAACATTTATTTGAAAAATACCTATTGTTGTTTCGATAACTTCTTTTTGCTTATTATTCGATTTCTTTCGTTTAATACGTGGTGTTTTAGAAATAATCTGTTGTCGAACATTATTATTCATTGATGATGATGTTTTTGTTGTTGGCATATATTTTTTCAATACAATCTTCAATAAATAAATTACAAAACAAAAACAAAAATTAATTTTCTTTTTATTTAAATGAAGAAAAGTATTTTACTCTATTTTCCATAATTTTTCCTTTTTGATTAAGTTGAACACTTTTTAATGAAATATGTTTCATATTTTTTGTTAAAGATTTAATTTCTGATCTTGCTGAATAAAATGATAAATGACATATATTTGCTAAATCTCTTTGTGATAAACCAATATCTTTAACTTGTTCTAATAATTGATAATATTGAAAATGATATGGTCGATCAATAAATAATCGAAGATTTTTTTGATCTAATTGACTTGATGCTTCTGATAAAGGTAACATATTTGAATCATCATCATCACCAACACCACCACCACCACCACTATTATCATCAATAATAACATCTTCTTCTACATCATCATCATCACCTTCATCAGATTGTTCATTATCATCACTTGATGATGCAATTTCTTCATCATCATCTTTATTTATATTATTTGATTTTAAACGAAAAAATGTATATGAACGTAAACGTATACGATTATTTAAACAGATTAATGTTGATGAATCATCTTCATTATTTAAAAATTTTTTTAAATCATATTCATTCATTGTTTTATTATATTTTTCAATTAAATTTAAACGTTTACATTTTCTCATTAATGAACGAAATGATTTTTCACCTAATGATAAATATGTTTTTAAATAATTTCTTTCACATGATTGATTTTTACATTGTTCTAAATATGTTTTTAAACGATCAATTATTGTATATTTTGAATTTAAATAATCATTTGTTGTTATATAACGTGTCATAATTAATATAGGTTGTTTAAGTGTACCAATTAATTGTCGTGTTAAATTTAATTTTTTTATTATATCTAATGATATTAATTGTTTAAGATAATAAAATAATGATTTACTATTAATATTAAATATTTTTGATAAACCATCATTACCAGATGTTGGTATACCTTTTGAACGTGTTTTACATATACATTCAAGTAATGCATATTCATATTTACTAAATAATTGTTTTGTATCATATCGACCTTGTATAATACGAAATTCACGAACATTTTGTTCAACAACAAGATGTATACGATCAATATTTTCAATATTATCAAGAATTAAATAATCAGATTTATTTGATATTAATTTTCGTTGATAATATGTTGATGAATAACCACGATGATTTAATTCAAGATTTTCAATTGCAAGATCATTTGATGATGATATTGTATGAAGTTTTTCTGGTAATTCATATAATTCAATACATGAACATGATAAAAGAATTTTCCATATATATGAACGAAGATAGATATCCGTAGATAATTGATTATTAATAGAAAGAACTAAAGGTTTAATAATAGAATATAAATGATTGAATGTACAACCATCGAGACCTTCGACAGATAATTCATCGATAAGAATATCTCGAAAATGATTCCAATTCATTATTTATTTTTGTTTTATGTTAGGAAAATACTTTGAATTAGATTCGAACACAAGACTGATGCAAGACGATAAAAGAATTTCGATTGGTTCGATTTCTATCTTTTATGTCGTTTTTATTTAAAATAGAAAAACCAATTCGATAGATGGCAGAATGTAACAGACGTAATGTTATTTTTTTTTTTAGAGACAATCGCCGAAAAAAAGTTTTAGATGTTAAATAAAGAGTGATATTTCTGGAATTAATTTGAAAAACATTTCATTTAAAAGTATCCTCTGCTCTGCTAGTATATATAAAGAATTGATCTTTCAATATTTGTGAAATTTCTCCTCTATTATCTCCTTAATTGAAACAATTTATAAGTAAAAACAAAACTGAAGTTGGATCTCGTCGAATTCGATGGAATATCTAATATAATTCTACAACTCGCGAGGAAAATCTGACAATTTTCGATAGAATTCTGTCGAGAATTGTTGGAATCCACAGCATGAGATTCGGATAGGAAGTTGTCAGATGTTGAATCCGACACTTTCTGATAGTAGGATGTGAGTGTGAGTTCATGCTTTCTTCACTCGCACTCTCTATTTAAGATATTGTTAATCGAAACAGATTTTTTGCAGTTTTCTCACAAAACTAAATTCTGTCATTTTGGTAGCCTAATTCTTTCTGATATTGACATTACCTTTTACTAATTTTCGCCACTGTTAAAGTGAATTTCGTAATATTTAACTTGATAGTTGTAAAAATAGCTTAAATAGTTGAACAACTTGTACACTCATCTAAATGACGAAATTCATAATCTTCTAGGCGTAGTGGGTGCATATACGTGTGGGTATAATGTGGTGGTGTGAATGCGGCTGAGTAAAGAAAGCGAGATCTTAAGCGAGCTGTAGTATTTTCAGGTTACTGATGAATCTATGGAGAAATAGTGGACACTTTTGAACCACAGGGAAATGCACAAGAAGAAGTTCGGAAAGCTTCAGAAAATCTAGCAATGTGCCAGAGTAACTGTAACAGACTTCATGTTACTCATGAAGGTGTTTTCGTACCGGCAAACAACCTTCTCACCATAAGGAAGTGTGTGAGAAAGTCAGCAAAAAATTTGAGAGAATCTATTAATGTATCAGATTAGCCGCAAAAATCTTCATGTTACGGAGCAATGTCTTTGGATAACGACGAAAACTATCGTATCACAAAGCTTTGGAAGCCTATCATCTGTGCACATAATGATAAAACCACCAGCATTCGATGAATGTCTGTATGTGGAGATGAACGCTTACTTGTCGCAGAAAAATATTTAGCGAACCGATCATGGGGACAGCGGCTTAGGATAGGATGAGTGTGGGTGTAGGTGATTAAAGAGAATGCCACTCATACACACACCCACACCCTGTTAGTCATAGGATATTCTAAGACAAACGTATGCAGTTTTTTAAAACTCACTTTGATACAGTTATAGGTGCTTTTTTATTTTCTATAATAAATAGTTTTCTTCGATGCTTTAAAAATTGTTCCTTTTGTTAGATCTAGATTATTTCTTGACAATATGATATTTCAGTGTGTTCAATTCTATGTTACAGAACAAGTAAATACAACTATGAAACTTTCTCAGAAATTACACACTATCGGGCTCAATATGTTTCACAGATAATGTCTTTCAGAACTGCAGGAACTGATGATCAACTTGCAAGGTTATTCTCTAGAGTAGCCTATTTTCTTATAGGGAGAGACCGGCGTATTGACGATATTTTAATAATACTAAATGGTTCCATTAAAAATTTTTATGTACAAATAATCAACATAGCATCTATGATGCACTGATATACATAAATTCTTCAGAAATGAAAAAAATTTTTGGCCTCTAGTTCCTTGTGAGAAGGAGATGGATTTCGGGAATATGAAAAAACTACTCCAAATGTGAATATGAAAATGCAATAATAAATATAACAGACTTCCTTTCTGTAACCCTGTACTCATAATCGCCTTCAGAGATCTGGAGACCAAAAATTTTTTTTCTATTTATAAAGGAGTTATTTATATCAGTACATCATAGATACTATGATAATTATTTCAATATAAAAATTTTTAATTGGATCGTTGAACATTGTTAAAATATTGTCAATATACTGATCCTTCATATAGAAATATAGACTATTCTAGAAGATAATCTTACAAGTTGACAAGGAATCCTTGATGTTTCGAAAGATGTTATATGTGAATCATATAGAGCTGGATAGTATGCAATTTTTGAGAAAGTTCCACGTTGGTATTCAATTGTCTTGCGGCACAAAGTTGAACACACTGAAATATCATATAGTCAACAAATAACCTAGATCTAAGAGACCATTTTTAAGTATGGAGAAAGTTACGATAAAAACTATTGATTATAGAGAATTAAAACTTATCTAATAACTGTATCGAATTGAGTTACAAAAAAAACTCGTGTAGGATTGTCTTAGAATATCCTATAATATCTCTCAAGCATTATAACCAGTGTATCTTTCCTTAGTATGTGAGAATTTTCATAAATCTTGATTTCTTATACACCATTCAATGTGCTGTAATATGCTCCACAAGACCACATATACCGTATTTCGGTTCAGAACAGGCCATAAAATCCGACAGGATCCTTCGATTTGGATAATTTTCTCTTTGAAAAAAAAGACTTCAGAGCAAAAGGAGCTGTATCGATCAAGCCAAACAAATTTTTGAAAAAATTCTTCAACTAGGCCATATTGGATGCATAGCAATGAGTCTGTTCTGTTTAATTTTCTTTTAAAACAAAAATATCCTACTGTTTGTTAATAAAAGTTAATTGTTATGGTTTAACTGGAATAGGTATTCAAGCAATTGAACTTTATCATGAAATGCCATCAGAATTAATTAATGAAGTAACACATATTTGTGTTTTTAAATACATGTTCACATTCAAGACCTGTGGATGAAGCTCGTTCAATCTTCAGCAATATTCAAAACAAAACAGAGAAAGTTTATGGCACTATGGTATATGAGAAAGATTTTTCTTTTTGGAAATTTGAATAATTTTCTATTCAAGTATTAATTTAGGTCGATTATCTTAGTCATGCATCTTTTTTCTTTTGAAGAAGCACAAGAATTAATTGATGAATATGAATATTATCATTTATCTGTATTATTCGTGTATTGTGAGTATCTTTCGATTAATTGAGCAATATCACAATTATAAATCAACCATTTTCTATTGATTTTTAATTGAAAAAGGATTCAGATCACATATTCAATCTATTGTTCTTTGATATTTAGTTAATTGAATAGAAAAATTTCTTATTTTCTATTATGTATATTGATCTTATTAAATATCTATGAGTACATTTCACAATGAACAACAAATCAAGATAAAATTGTTTTGATCAAAAGTTTTAAATTTACTCATTAAAATGTTTTTAAGTAAAAAATATTCATTTCTTTTTCACAAAGAAACCTCCTGATATGTCCCCTTCTGATTTCAATGATTTTTTGCATATATATGCTACATAGCGTTCTAATAAAAACTCTAAAAAGTTCTGGGTTCCTATTGATATTTGACTAAGGTATCGAATTTTTTTTCTAGAGACCTCAGGTTCTACGAAAATTCGTATGTTTCGAATTTTGATCTGAAACTTTACGCATATAAAGTACTCAACTAGACTAGCTCCCATAAAAAAGTTCAGAAATTTTGAACAAAGTCTCTTTGACAAATGAAACTTTCAAGATATATTACCCTTTTCCATAGATAGGATATACAGCATACGTTTTTTGAAAGTTTTATATCTTGACTAGACTTTGTTCAAAACTTCTGAATATTTTTATAGAAACTTCTCAAGTTAAGTTATCTTTATGCACAAAGTTTCAGATTGAAATTCGAAAATATGAGTTTCTCGAACACCAGGAATTTGTAGAAAATAGACATATTGAAAATTCAATAGTTTAATCAAATCTTGATAGAAACATAAATCCTTTTATGATTTTTTTTCGAACATTAGGTAGTATTCATAGACAAAAAAAATCTTTGAAATCGCAAGAAAACATCTGCGAAGATTCTCTCGTTGGTCAATAAGACTTTAGAAGCTTTCTTCGAGCATTTAGAAATTTTATTTTAATCTGTTAAATATATTTTTGATGAAATAAGATTTTTCTAAGAACAATAGAGTCTATCGTATTTTGTTATATGAAAACGTTTTTGTACATGATGAAGATTTTCTTAATGATTTAGTTTTTCGCAATTGCAATTCAATATTTGTATGTTTATAATAAAAGTTTCTATTTCATTTGACAATTATGAAAATGAAATAAATTGAAGATCATATTTCAAGGTTTTTTAAAATATCTTTTCAATAGATAATTAATAAATTTATTTCTTGAATAAAAAATTGACAGAACATGTTTGTTTACTAACTCATTATTTACCAATCGGTTAAGATCAATTTTTAATAAGAATAGCAATATCAATAAAAATGTATGAGATTGGAAATAGTTGACATGGGATAAGCACTTTTGTCAAATATCAATGAACTTTGTTGATTGTTGAAAATTTACTAAAGATTTTGACTAGTAGCTTTTCATCTTGATAAGTGAATATATGGAATAGAAGTGTAATGATCAGAAAGAAAGAATAATAAATCAATGGAACTATTTTTCATAAGCGAAACGTAAAGTGAATAATTCTAATTTAACTATTCTTATTTTAGTGGTATTGTTATCTGACACTCGAAATATTAACAATGATTATTTATTAGAAAACGTTTACAATCATATGAAAAAACTTTTTCCTGAAATAACAAATCCATTAATATCAGCTGCAGTTCTTCTTGCTAATAGTTATAAATCGTTAGATGAAATTGACAAAGCATCAGATATTAGCATTCATTTACATAAATCGAATGCTAAGAAGAAGATCAGTCTCTCGTGGACTGCAGTCAATCGACAAATCTTTGTAAGTCAATAATTATAGTATTCATTCTCTATACAGGTCATATGACATGAACTTCATAGCAATTTCGAGCTCATGATCAATCTCATTCTTGATCAATTGAAATCTCCGCTGAACTTGAGAAAATATCAAAGGAACTTATTGAATATGATTATGAATACCATTCAAATTAGATCACACAACCATTGAATTCAAATGAAATCGTTGCGTCAGTCCTTTGTGAACATAGTTAACACCTTGCAATTGCATGAAACTTTGTTAAGAACCCCAATGCATTACGAACTCGAGTGACAAATTTATCTTTGTATTTGTGGTGATTATCGTATGTGATCATGTTAATCTTTTTTTTTCATAGATCGTGCCACAAAAATGATAGCTACCATTCGTCAATGTGAAATAATCATTCGTGATGCAAATCGTGTTCATTACTTCTTCACAAGTGGACAGATGCTCATGCAACGATTATTTCTAAAAGACAAATTCATCTCCTTTTTTCTACGTTAGTTTTTCTTTCAAATAAAAATAAAGAAAAACGATGATTTCTTTTGCAAGCCAATGTATAGTACCAATGGATTATGAATGATTTAATTGTTAATTGAACAAGATTTATCATATATAATGTTTTCAATTCAAAAACGTGTCAGTACACTTTGTTTCCTCTCTATTATGGAAATTCAATTTTGAAAATTAGAATTTCTCGAACGTATTAGAAACCTTACATGGTTGAAAATAACTTTATCGTTTCTCGATACTTTTTTTATAGGTCTAAATTTCTTTCAATTTGTACAAGTTCTTTAAATGTGCTTCTTTTGTCAGTAATGAAAGATGTTCATATTAATATCAAAAAGAAACAACTACTCTATGATTAAATAATTGGAACTAGATATATCCAATATCACCTTGTTGAAGTTCTTCATCTTATCCATGTATGCACAAGTTCACAGACAAAACAAAGATGGATTTTTATTAACTTGACAAAGAAAAAACCTTTGATTACATTTTGAGATATTTCACAGTGCTGAACAATGATCAGAAATTTATGAAGATGCAAAGCATCTTATAGTGATCAATCAAGACTTTTCTTCTTTCTCGAATTCGTTATCCAAAGTCCATGTTTTGTGACGCGATGATCGCGAGAATGAAACACCGTTTGATGCTTGTTGGAACATCATTAGAGACGTTGAGATGTCTATATGATACAAATTTTCTCCAATTTTTGATATAATGTTTCAGTCGCTCAAAGTAGAATCTAGAAACTATAAATAATCTATGGATTTTATCTTCATTATAGTGAGATAATGAAGCGAGACAAGGTAATGATCTTAGAAATGATTAATTATCATTAACAGTCACTATTGTGTAAATTATGTTTTGACAAAACCACTTACATTGTTCATAATCATGTATATCGTATTCGTTCTAGAACTTTTGGTTTGATAAATATTACATAACATTTTTATCTATCATAATTGTATTAGCAATCAATACTTCGACCAAAATGCCTCATATTAGTATAAATCGCTCGGTTCTCCATCGACCTTCCCGATACTCCCCAATATCTTAAAAATTGATTGAACAGATTAAAATCGATTAACGATTAAAATCAAATTATCACTGAGATAATCAAGAATAATGGACGTAGTAGATTATTTTTTCAATTAATTTTAATAGGATTATCGTGCAAAATGCGGGAGTCTCATAGAAAAAATTAGGTTTGTAGACAGATAATTAAAAACAATTCATATTTTCTCAGATATATTTTTCATTGTATAAGAGATGCCTTCTTTTTTGGACAGTAAAGAAGAATGTTCGATGAGTAAATAAATGTCGTATATGTATAATCGCTGATTAAACCGTTCTCTGTTTTTATCATTTATTGTCACATGAGAATAGAAAACAAAAAGGTAAAAAGGACTATTTGCATGCATATAGGGATCAAGGTTTGATATGCATAGAAAGACGTCACTATGAAAATATATGCATGATTTTGCTCTGTATTGACGACAATATACACCATTGTCTACGAGAAAAACAACATGCTTTGCTTGCAAAAAATGAATCTATCTCTCTCATCATACATGAAAAGAAAAAGAAAATATTTTTTTGTACATTTCTTCTTGCTAGGCAATCAACGAAATAATAAAAAATAATACTGATTTTTTCAGGAATATTTTGCACTGAATAAGAGATGCCTTTTCTTGGACAGTGAAAAAAATGTTTGATTAGTAAATAAATGTCGTAAATGTATAATCGTTGGTTAAACAGTTGTTTTTTTTATCATTCATTGTCATATGAGAATAGAAAAAAAAAGGAGAAAAGGATTATTTGAATGTATACAATGACGTTACTATGAAAAATATGCATGATTTTGCTCTGTTGACGACAATATACACCATTGTCTACGAGAAAAAAA